ACATCCTCATCACCACCGGCATCACCAGCATCATCATCATCAACATTAGCGTCAAACATACTTGGGGCTAATCAATTCTTCAACAAAGGACTTTTAGGACATTACCAAGCATTGACTAACAGGCATGCACTACATGCATCAAATTTTCATTTCTTTCAATTGTCGAATATGTTTTTGCATGTGTGTAATAATCAAATTTTTGCACCATAAGTAATGTAACATTGTAATATTTGATCTGCATGCAGAGGTTATACGCGCAGTTCCTACCCCTACTTGGCATCTTCAAGCAGGTTTGTGCATTTATATACAAGTACTCCGTATATTGCATATGTATATTGGATCCATCCTAAAGATTTAATCTTTCTTTGGTTGGTCTGATAGATACAAAACAAAGATAAACTCATCAAATATATTCTATGGCAGAAATAGAATGTTATTGTTAGGCACTTAGGGGATAATACGAGGTTAATTTACTTATGTTTTAAGGGTCAATTTAATAATCATACACAATTCTCATACATATATAATTAAGTCAATGCTCAGAAGTGAATGCAAATGTATCTCACATAATTTCGTAAAATATAACTAATAAGTTAGTATTGTACCTACAATGCATTTGTTTGATCTAAGTCATTATCTTCTTATTTATTACGGAGTAATATGTATATATAAATTGCTCGATATAGGACCAAAATAGACTTAAGGTGTTAAAATAGGACTAAGTATGTTTTATTCGAAATATGACTAATTTAGTCCTATTTGAGAAATAAGTTAATCAAACTTCTAAAAATAGGAGAGAATGAGCCTTATTTGGAGAATAAAACAATGATGGTCCTATTTACGAACTTAATCATTGTTTCAATCCTATTTAGGGGATTTTCTTGTAATATATAAATTGTTTAATTGTAACATTCTAATTGATTCACGCAGATAAGATGTCGCACCTTGAAGGCATCATAGAGTTTATCATAAAATTGTTTATTTTTCTTCTTCTTCTTTTTAGGGGAGGGGGGGAGGGGGGGGGGGGGGCATGTGACATACTATTTGATCCACGCATATAAGATGTCGCTCCTTGAAGGCACCATAAAACTTACCATAAAACTATTTATTTTTCTTCTTTTTTTGAGGAGAGGGATTATGAGGCTTTATAACATCTCCTTTCTTGTTTAGGAGTTTAAAAAATTGGAAAAAATGGTTTTGATGAGTTTTTGTGAACCTTTAAACCCTTTCAAGTGTTTAATTGTTAAGTTCCTCCAAAATGGAAGATTTTGAAAGATAACTAATTAAATCATGATTTTAACTTAACTTAAAATGAATATAAGTTCAACTATTTAAATTCACCATAACTTTGAAGTGATTTTAATTATAATTCCTTCTTTGTCCTCTCTCTTCAAATTTGTTAACTCCCAAACAAAAAGAAGAACTTCCCTCCGATTCACCTTCTAAGATTAACCTTCAAAACCTTCCACTCCTTTTCTGTCTAAACACCCAAACACACCCTAAATATATTGTTTTCTTTGATCTCCATCTTTATAAAATGTTGGGAACCATGCATCATGCATGCATGGATGCATATTTATAATTTAAATTTGAGTGCATGCATGGCATATAATCTATATATGAAGCACAAAGCCCCATGTTTCACTATTTTGGAAACTTGAAAGCATGTCGAAAAATCATAACCTTCAAATTCTCATTTTTAGACCATTAGTGTAATTAAGAAATATTGAAATTTGTTTCACAAATAATTAAGGTTTTGGAAACTTCCAGATTCCTATTTTTTAATTCCATGATGGAAAATAAAATCTTTTTAAGGATTTTTTATGAGTTTTTTTCCTAGCAAAGTGTGATATTTCACAACATTATACATCGCTAACGGATTGAGCTTTATTTAAATTGCTCAATAAAAACATTATATTTGACCCACATAGATAACATTATATTTGCCGTAAGACTGTTTACTTTTCTTCTTTTTGGGGGGAGGGGGATCGGGAGGGGGCATGACCTTCTGTGCCTCTACAAAGTTGTGCATCTAAGGGTATGTTTAGGAGTTGAGTTTTGGAGGAAAGGACATGGATTATGAGGGTTTGTGACATCTCCTTTTTTGTTTGGGAGTTTAAAACATGGATTATGAGGGAATGACATGGATTATGTTGGTTTTGAAGGGTTTTTGTGAACCTTTAATACCTTTCAATTTTTTTAGTTCTTCCAAATTGAAAGATTTTGAAAGATAAGTAATTAAATAATGACATTAACTTAACTTAAAATGAATATAAGATCAACAATTTAAATTCGCCGTATCTTTGAAGTGATTTTAATTATAATTCATTCTTAGCTCCCCTCCATTCAAATTTGTAACCCCCCAACAAAAAGAAGAACTTTCTTCATACCCCTTCCCCTTCTAAGACTAACCATTAAAACCTCCCAAACATACCCTAAATATATTGTTTTCTTTGATCTCCATCTTTATAAAATGTTGTGAATTTAATCATGCATGCATGGATGCATATTTATAATTTAAATTTGAGTGCATGCATGGCTTCAATACAGAGCCTCATGTTTCTCTATTTTTGAAACCTGAAAATCAAGTGGAAAACTCATAATATTCAAATTCTCATTGTGAGACCATGACTGTAATTAAGAAGAATTGAACATTGTTTTCCAAATAAATAAGGTTTTAGAAATTTCTAGATTCCTATTTTTTAATTCCATGATGGAAAATAACGTCTATATAAAAACTTTTTAAAGATTATTAGATTTTTCCTAGCAAAACTATGATATTTCACAACATTATACATCGCTAAAAACGGATTGAGCTTTATTTATATTGCTAAATTGTAACATTATATTTGACCCACATAGATAAGATAGTGCACCTTGAAGGTACCATAGAATTTACCATAAAACTGTTTATTTTTTTATCTTTTTTTTTGGGGGGGGGGGGAGAGGGGAGGGGGGCATGACCTTCTACGCCTATACAAAGATGTGCCCCTAAGGGTATGTTTGGGAGTTGAGTTTTGGAGGGAAGGACGTGGATTATGAGGGTTTGTGACATCTCGTTTCTTGTTTGGGAGTTTAAAAATTTGAAAGGATTGGTTTTGAAGGGTTTTTGTGAACCTTTAAAAACTTTCGAATGTTCAATTTTCGAGTTCCTCCAAATTGGAAGATTCTAAAAGATAACTAATTAAAAAATGACTTTAACTTAATTTATAATGAATATAAGTTCAACTATTTCAATTTATCTTATCTTTGAAATAATTTTAATAATAATTCCATCTTAGCCCCCTCTATTCAAATTTGTATCTCCCAAACAAAAAGAACTTCCCCCCCCCCCCCCCCCCCCCCCCCGGCAAGACTAACCTTTAAAGTCATCCACTCTTTTTCTCTCTAAACACCCGAACATATCCTAAATATATTGTTTTCTTGGATCTCCGTCTTTATAAAATGTTGTGAACCATGCATCATGCATGCATAGATGCATATGTATAATTTAAATTTGAGTGAATGAATGGCATATAATATATGAAGCACAAAGCCTCATGTTTCTCTATTTTGGAAACTCCCAAGCATGTCGAAAACTCATAACATTCACATTCTCATTTTGAGACCATTACTGTTACTAAGAAGAATTGAAAATTGTTTTCCAAGTAATTAAGGTTTTGCAAATTTCCAGATTCCTATTTTTTAATTCCATGATGGAAAATAACGTCTTTATAAAAGCATTTTAAGGATTTTTTATATGAGATTTTTTCCAAGCAAAAGTGTGGTATCTCACAACAATTGCGAAAAACAGATTGAGTTTTATTTAAATTGCTCAATTGCAACATTATATTTGACCCACGTAGATAAGATACCGCACCTTGAAGGTAGCTACAACAAAATTTACCATAAAACTATAAAAGTTTATTTTTCTTCTTTGGGGGGGGGGGTTAAATTTATGCGCCTCTACAAAGATGCGCCCATAAGGATATGTTTGGGAGTCGAGTTTTGGAGGGAAGGACATGGATTGTGAGGGTTTGTGACATCTCCTTTCTTGGTTGGAAGTTTTAAAAATTGAAAGGATTGGTTTTGAAGGGGTTTTGTGAACCTTTAAAACCTTTCGAATGTTCAATTTTTTAGTTCCTCCGGATTGAAAGATTTTGAAAGATAGCTAATTAAATATTGACTTTAACTTAACTTAAAATGAATATAAGTTCAGCTATTTAAATTCGTCGTATCTTTGAAATGATTTTAATTATAATTCCTTCTTAGCCCCCTCTATTCAAATTTGTAACTCCCAAATTAAAAGAAGAACTTTCTTCCATCCCCCTCCCCTTCTAAGACTAACCTTCAAAGCAACCTTCCATTCTTTCTCTCTCTTAACTCCCAAACATACCCTAAATATATGGTTTTCTTTGATCTCCATTTTTATAAAATGTCGTGAACCATGCATCATGCATGCATATAATTTAAATTTGAGTGCATGCATGGTATATAATCTAAAGCATGTCAGAGACTCAGAAATTTCCAATTCTCGTTTTGAGACCATTATAGCAATTAGGAAGAATTGAAAATTGTTTTCCTAAATAATTAAGGTTTTGGAAACTTCTGGATTCCTGTTTTTAATTCCACGATGGAAAATAAAGCTTATATATAAAATTAAAAAAATGATTTTTTATGAGATTTTTTCCTAGCAAAAGTGTGGTGTTTCACAACATTATACATCGCTAAAACCGGATTGAGATTTATGTTTAATCATGCATGTACTAGTTCTAATAATTCATAAATTTGACGTGAAGCATGTATTAATTACTAGTATTGGTCTTCAAACAAAGTTATATGAAGGAAAAAAAAGTTATATGAAGGAAATGTCAATAAATATATATATAGACACAGTATATGAAATATATATATGTGTACATACATGGAAAAATACGTAGAAATATATACCCTCCTTATATTTTTCAATATTTAAGTGTTTCAAACTTATAAATCATTTTTCTCGCGAGTCATGTTACTTGTTTCTCGTTTCCATACTACTTGGAATATAATGCATGGGGAGTTGCAGCGAGAGCTCAGATGTTTTAGAGGGTCGGTGGAAATATTCAAGCCTTGGGATCAGTCCAACTTCACAAGCAGAAGATAAGAAGCAGCTTCTTCTTGCTGCCTCAGCTGCAGCGAAGGCGGCAGCAGTGGCGGCTTCAAATCCTTCCTCTTCTCGCTCCTTCACCGGTCAGTAACGTACTAGTAATTGATATATAGGAAGTTCTTGTCCTAAATTGAATTGCAAATTGCGGTGTTCAAGTGTTGCCCGTAGTGGCGGTACTATGACAAAGGAGGTAGTTAACTGAGTTTTAAGTTGCAGATCTGCCATGCCCCTTACCGTTGGCTGAAGTCCAGGGGAACCTCAATTTGGTGAACAAGGATCAAGCAGCTTCACATGCAAACAATACTAATACTAATGGTGGAGCAATTACGGCTCGTACGTCACCATCATTGTTATCCATATGGGAAAATATGATGCGCAAGAAATCTTCACCTAATTCCAACCCTCCTCTAAATAACAATCAAAACGTTCACTCATCCACGGGTGACATCGGTCGTAGCCCAATGTTTCAAGTTGGAAACTACTCATCATCATCATCAACCAGTGCTGCTCCTCCCCCTACTGCTACTAACTTTCTCAACCTGCCGCCACCGCTGCCACAGGTACTATACATATGCCATGTCGAGTAGTGATCCTGTCAGACCGGCCTGACAGGACTCGTCGTCCGGCCGAGGGCTTTTTGGGATCTGGAATTTTTCGTTGAACTTTTTTTAGCAAGCCAAGGATCGAACATCTTTTAAGCCGTTTAAATTAATACATTACTTGTTTCACAGGGAGATTACGGATCTAGGGGGAACATCCCCACATTACCAGCAAATGCTAGCAACTGCAGCGGCAGCATCAACAACCGTTATCATCCGCTAGTGAGCAACAACAACAGTAACACCGCCACTGCCACAAACAACACCAGTTATCATTCGCTAGCAAGCAGTAGCGACAGTCACAACACCACCACCACCAACAACAAATGTTATCTTCCGCTAATAAGCAGCAATAGTACCAACAACAACGCCATCTACAACAACACCAACCAATATCATCCACTAGTAAGCAGCAACAGTAACAACAACACAACCAACACCAACCGGTATTATCCGCTAGTAAGCAGCAACAGTGACAATGACAAAAATAGTTTTCTTTTACCAGTCAGCAACAACATCGTTGGTGCAAATCCACTACAAGGTGGTGTTGCTATTCAACCCTCATATGCACCTCCGAACCCTAATGCTTACCTCACATCTGCTGCTACTTCTGCTTGCAACATCCCCACAGCGGGACAAGGACAGGACAAAGTGCTTAGTGTGAACTTCAACAATGAGAGTAGAAGACAGCTTGAGCCAACTAGTGAAGTAAGTAACCTAGCATCATCATCATGGGAGGGTATACTAGCAGTCGCCACTGCCAGCTTAACTGGTCATGCAGTGGCCCCGGTTCAGCAAATGGGCCAAGGACAACAAGAACAAGCCTTAACTCATCACGTGGCGGCCCCAGTTCAAATTGAACAAGGAAAGCAAGAACAAGCCTTAAGTGGCCATTTGGCAGCGCCAATTCAAATGGGCCAAGGACGACAACAACAACAACAACAACATGCCATAACGGGTCATGTGTCTGCCCCAGTTCAAAGGGGCCAAGGACAACAAGAACAACATGCCTTAACAGGTCATGTGTCTGCCCCAGTTCAAAGGGGCCAAGGACAACAAGAACAATCCTTAACTGGTCATGTGGCAGCGCCAATTCAAATGGAACAAGGAAAGCAAGAACAAGCCTTAACTGGTCATGTGGCCGCGCCAATTCAAATGGGCCAAGGACAACAACAACATGCCTTAACGGGTCATGTGTCTGCCCCAGTTCAAAGGGGCCGAGGACAACAAGAGCAATCCTTAACTGGTCATGTGGCAGCGCCAATTCAAATGAGCCAAGGACAACAACCCGCCTTAACTGGTCATGTGGCGGCCCCAGTTCAAACAGGCCAAGGACAACAAGAACAAGTTCAACAAGTAACAGCAGGGGTGGGCAGAAACATCTTCCCGGTTGTAGGTCAAGATGGGCTCTCAGTTGGGCTGCAGGGACAGGTCCATCTTGAGACGGATTGGCTGTTGGATCCCACTTGCAACATAAACATTGAAGAGTTCCTTGACTTGCAGTCAATGAACTAGCCAGACTCTACCCCCATGCCTTATGATCAGTTTGAGTTAGACATTTAAATTTAGTGTAGATTATTGTGGAGCCTACCTTACATCGGAATTCATGTTGTTTCGATCTCTGTGTTTCTTTTTTACTTTGTATTTGGCAGCAGGACAAGAACAGAGTACATGCATGGTTACTTTCGCCTTGCAAACTAATTGAACTTATTTTACTTATTTTAGTACGTAGTATTTTCTTTTTCCCCACTTACTATTGCACTTAAGTGATTCACTTTTTAAGATGGCATTAAGTTTAATTCATTTTACCTTGCACGGAAATTATAATTATTTTCACTGGAGCGACCACATTTTGGATTCTTGATATGTGTAACATACATTGCAGTATATATTTGACAAAATGTGCAATCTTTGTATTTAAGAGACAAAATCTTTGAAGAGATATTTCACATACATGCCCTTCAGAACACTCTTTTCGTTATCTGTAATTTGATTTTCACCTTTTGGGAGTGTTTACCATGAAGAAATTAGGACATCAGGCTAAGTTGCTCACCAGACTTCACGGAGAAGTTCATATCTTGCATTGGATCCAAATATACTTTTTTCATCATTGTTGCCTTTAAGATTTCCGTTCTTGGAATGTGTTGAAGTCGGTGTTTTGTCAACTATAAATGTGAGAGGAGAACCTACTTCATCCAGTTCCTCATCGCTCGTGTATCCCTTCCTCTGTATGGAAGAAGAGGTACGAGAAAACTGGGACTTCCTGTCAACCTCTGCAACCTTCTCTGCAACATCAGCAGATGAAGGAGGAGTGTACACTACTGGAGCAGCAGGGTAAGGGAAGCTGCCAGTGCGCTCGGCTGATAATCCATGCTCTATGATGCACTGTAAATAGGAAAGACCAGACATGCAAAAGTTAATATGCTGGCACATATTACTAATTTGACGTTGTAGCATATTTTCCTATCATAAAGTGTTTTCAGCGTTGTTTTCAAGGATACTTTATGAAAAGGATTCAAACGTTGTTTTCAGCGTTTTTAGCAAAAAGCAGAAAAGAGTTTTTTTAAGCTAGCGCAAACACGGCTAATGTCCTCCAACCAAATAAGGGGATGCAGACTACGCTTGCTTAATCCTAAATACAACTACCAAGATAAGTAAAGTAATAGTCAAACCTCAGCATTGACGGCCTCTAACACGGCACCAGGGACGGGATCGGGACAAAACTCGTCTGGAGAGAAATTACAGAGGATTCTCTTGAGCAAGGAAAGATGTATTGATGGACAAACCTGGAGCAACAGTCAGATAGTCAGTGTAATGAAATGCTTAATGACGTGGATTCCAAACATTCTGAAAATTATACGTATTCAAATGATATTACCTCCATTCTGATTTTTGAATCCATAAGCATGTCTTTTGGAAGCATTAGAAGGTCACTCAAGGCATTGAGAAGATTGAAGTAGTCTTGTTGTTCATCTCCGTCTTCTCCTTTACCGTCATACTCAGATTTGCTAAAGTCATTTTTGGCTGATTCACCAAGAGCAACGCCAAATAATTCTGTTAGCCTTCTAGACCAATTGCCAACCTGGAAAGAATGTTAAGGATATCAAAACTACAAAAAGAATAAAATGACCAAAAGCATAATGGATTGCAGAAGGGCAAAAACTGTAAACTAAGATTAGGAAACATTATTAACAAAGGCGATAAAATTTTATTGTAAGCTATGGAAGGGTGTGGTGGAAGGGGAGCATTGGCAGACCAGGATCAAGTCTTGGGAGCGATCACTTGTCCAAAGACTTGCCCCTTATACGCCACTGTGATGGGACCCTTCTCCTGGACCCCCGGAATTGCAGAATACCTTCGTGCACCAGGCTGCCAGTATATGAAAGGGTGGGGGTGATGGCAGGTCATATTCGGCAATCCGTGTTTACAAAATAGGTTGATATTGAGACTCGGAAAATGGGAGGGAATAAAAACAGGAGGAAAATAGAAAAGGACATCGGAAGGAAAGAAGATTTAAGGGAAAATAAAAGATGTAGTTATGATCAATAAACTTATTTATTATACATCATTACATCCCCCATACCAAAAACAAGTTCTCGGTTTGACCTGCACGGAAACTTATGCAAGAATGCAAGTTTGAGTTATTGTACTGTCTAATTACACCCAGTGACCTAGAGGTGGGATTTTGGAACGGTAGGGTTCCTACGAATGAGTTTTGCTAAATGGTTCAGTACCTTGTGGATGCTAACGATTCGGTTCTTGGTTCCTATAAAAATATGAGCATGCAACCGCAAAGGAACCGTTATTAAAAATAAAAATAGTAAAAGTAGTAGTAGTAGTTGTAGTAGTAATAATAATAATATACTAATACCAAGGGAAATTAACCTAAATAAGAATAAAAACGTCAATATATTCAATAATAGGACTATCATGTTTTATTCCCAAAATAGGAGTTATTATTGACATGTTTTTGTAGTACCAGACTTTAAACATGACAATATTTTCTAAGTTTGGCAGTAATTACTCCTATTTTGGAAATAAAAACATTGCAGTCCTATTTCGGAATTCTCAAACATTTATACTCCTAGTTTGGGAATTTTCCCAAACAATAGCAATAATAACCACAACAACAAGAACAACAACAAAAATAATAATAATCATAATAATAGTAGCTAAACAATCAATGATATTTAGCCAACAATTCAAACTTAACCAATGAAAACAAGCAAAAAGCAAATAGTAAGTGACATTTGCCTATTAAAATGTTCTTTTCATGGAGGAACTGCAACTTCATTTAGGACAGAGGCAGTATTCACATTAAACATAATATATTAAATTATGAGCCCATTTGGTAACAATAAAATTGACTAGTGGTTGAATCCGCTAAAATTGGTGAAATTCTGGTTGAATTCGTTGAATCAGCTGAATTGTGAATATATTATAGTTAAAATATATGGAGTATTTTATTAATAAAATAACGAGACAATTATACGAAAAATAGCTAAAAAAGTTCTCTTCAGCAACATAAGCCAACTCAATCATTAAAGTAACTCCTACCTTACTTATTTTGATTATTATGCATTTCAACACGCGAAATAAAAATTTGTGTCTTCATCGTCGTCATCATTATCCCAGTGCCGCAAAGGATCTCACCTATTGTGGGGTAGGGGGGTCGGATGTACTTGTATATGTGAAGGCAAAAAGTTTTGTGTAGAATTTGTAAAAAGTTATGTGTTTCGTAAAAAATATATTTGTATTCATGAAGACAAAAAATAAATATATTTGTAGAATTTTTAAATTAATCACATATCAATATCGTTTCCATTTCCAAGGTAAATTCATACAAACAAAGCTTAGCTTTCCTTATCTTTTTCCCATTTCCCTGACATTTTCCAGGAATCCAAACATACCCTAAAACTACAAAGATTGGGCATAACTTACTGAATTTTTTAACTGAGCACCAGATCCAAAACTTAAATCCCCAGCTGGAATAGGCAAAACCTTTGACTCAACTATTGGATCAGAAACAGGATCAGTTGGGATCTCATGAGCTGATTCGCGAAGAATAGCATTAAACATTGCCACATCTAATCTCGCAACACATTGTTTTATTACCTGATAATACATAAAAGGTAGAAAGTTAAGAAGAATATCTATCGAAATTATACTTTCCTTAGTGAAAGTAGAATAGTACACATACCCTTCTTGCCAGCACAGGTAAGCAGCCACATTCATGCCCACCAGCCCGAACAGGACATAATCTCATCAAAGCATCTTTGAAAGCATTATTCCATAGATCAATTGAGAAGCGCCCTTGCTCTTGGTCACCTAAGGCGGGACCAAGTAGTTTCCCGGCCGTCTTTCCCATTGATAGATGACTAATCTGACATTGCATATTTGGAGTGAAGTCCTGAACACAAAGAACTAATCAGCATTAATTAAGAAGCATATTACACGGAAGAAGTTCATAAAGCTGCTTCTCAATGTCCAAGGAATAAATGTGCCAGCCATATATTAAACCTAATTAATTTATGGATTTCTAAAATAGTTTTATGTTGCCTGATTTGATTATTGCAGTTCTACTGGTGGAGCAAACACCACAGGAGAAAATCCCTAATCAATCTATAAGGTTTCATTTGGAACTTTGAAAATGATAGGGAAATAAAAAGATATTCAGAAACAATTAAACACAACATAGTAATGTTCCTTACCTAAAGTTTTGTATGTTAGGTTTTACCTTGGAACATACAAAGGAAATACATACTTGATAAGAAAAATTAAAATTTTAAATATACTTAATTGTCATTTATCTATAAATATACCTTGGAACAATTATGTCATCAATCATTCATTCATTCATCATCATTACCCCAGTGCCGCAGAGGCTCCCCACCTATGGCGGGGTAAGGGAGGATCGGTTGTACTCAGCCTTACCCCTGTAGGGGGGGGGGGGGGGGGGGAACAATTATGTAAAAATGTAAAATTGATTTAGTAGATTTGGAACACTTTTATATTTCTTCTCCAAATTTTCTTTCCTTGCAAATATCCCCTCTTTTCCTCCCACCTTCTGCTGCATATTCTGGGTTCCAAGCGGACCCTAACACCCAACAGTCTTGTTTGCCTAATATACAAAAGCTCATGCGCAACTGCAAACATCCTCCTGCGGATTATTTACCTGCCACCATATTGACTCCACTATCCGAGAAAAAATCCAGGACTCCACTCTTTCCAAGGCAGCTCTAAATGTTCTTGATTCTTGCCAATCGTCAATAAAATGCAATACACCTTGCTTAGATTGTGTGCTTCCAGACAATGCAGATATTTGAGTAAGAGAGTTTGAGCTACAGGAACTTCCAAACGCTTGTGATATTATTTCCCTCAGAACAACAGCATTGGATAGCCAGAACGTCAACCTTTTTAAGAATAAAGCAAAAGGCAATTGTTAGCCAGTAAATTATTCCTTCGGTTCTTAAACAATTATCCATTAAGCTAAGGTACTTTTGTTCACAAATTTTTGCCCTCCATATTTATTTAACATTTGTTTGTTACTTCTGATTGCCAGAAATGTATAGGGGCATGTTTGTAAGTCAAGATAGTATGAAACAATTAATTATCACCTTAAAGATTGCAATTTACCTTAATATAAACTATAAAGGTATTGTGGAAAGGAGGGAGTAAAGAAGAAAATCTAGAATCTAGATTAGTGATGGGTGCAACAAACGCACCTTGTAACATCACTACCGCATGACTTGGAAACCAGAACAAGGCCTGAAACCATATTCCTAGCTACCGTGGCACGTTTCTCTTGAGACCAATATTTGGAGGCATGAATATAAAGTCTGGAAAGGCGCCTTGCTGGCTTATGCACCTTATGTGCTGAATTCCCATGTTCAGGTGCCACAGAATAAAGCGCAACTTCAAGAGCAGCAACTTCTCTCAGCTCCTCCTGAAGTTTCTCAATCCTTGATTCCATTTCCTGCACCTTTTTTTCTAAAGCAGCCCTGTCTTCTTCATCAAACTCTTCTGATGTGTTAACTGTTTCATCATCACTCACAAAATTCCGAGCACTGCTGGAAGCCTCATCTTTTGTATCTGCTTGCTTAACCTCTTCAAAAAGTCCATCATCAACCTCTTCTGAGGATTCTATTATTGTTTTTGGATGGACTTTCATATTATTAGAATTACTATGTACAGAGTTGGTTGACACTTTGGATGGACCTTTTGCAGGGACCATAGTATTTTTAGGTGCAGTTTTTGATGCCTTCAATTGTATGCTGTTATAAGCATTCGTAGAGGGTGCAAAGGAAGAGCGATCAGAGGATCCATCTCTGGGAAATATTGAAGCTTTTTCTAACTTATTGTCTTCTGAAGTTTGTGGATCTCCTTGAGATGATGATACTGATCCATTAACTGTTTCAGGATCCGATTCATCTTCCATTTCCTCCTTTGAATCATTTTCCTGCTCACATGAATAACCACTTAAATTGTTATGACTCTCCTTGTCATCCATCTGGAGTGTTTTTGACATTTGAGTTGTTTCATCAGACCCGTTGATGTCATCAACATAATGTATAACCACGGTTTCATAAGATTCTGGGTGTTCTGTACCTGTATTTAGATCCCTTACTAAAGTGCTCGAGACTTGATTAGCAGATGAAGTTTTCATATTTGTTTCTTTTCCTTTCATGATTTTGCGACCATTCTTCTCTTGTGGCTTCTGGCCCTTTTTATCTGGCCTCAAAGCACGCGTTATTTGACTACCCTTTTGAACTTGTTTGCGTTCAGTTGCCCTCATGCTTCAAATATTTGAGCTTATAAACTGAAGAGGTAGAGAAATGAAGTCATAATTACTAATTAGCAAGAGTCACTCAAATCATAAATGCAAGATGGGACCAGCATTATGTTGAAAAGTTAACTATAAAAGCTACACTAAGTATGAAATGGCATAATGCATTAATGCTTATAGTTTCTACTGAAATAGCATAACCTTTATGATATACATTTAGATTGATATCCATATAAGTACAGAACTTAATATGACACCCTTTGGGGCCATGAACATTACTTTTCATGAGCTCAGTAATTTAAGTAAATGCTTGTCAAGTAATACCTTGCATGGGTGTTCTATGTCAGTGAAAGGGTTTTACACACATGTCATTCACTTTCCTTATTTCCTGATTTCCCCTATAGACTAACTTATGCAGCATTAACGTTAGTGAACTACTCCTTTAAGTCACTAAGGTTTGAGTCAGCTATATGTTATAACTGTATCGTGAACAAAAGCTGAAGACAAGTTTGTCTGCATATCCAAGTACAAACTACAAAAAAGTACAAATATACAAATGAAATTCTAATTTCAATAAAAAGAACATGCTTGTTAGTCAGTAGTCACAAGTACAGTGCAGGTTTTGCTACTCTACATCCAGCCATCCAGGATACTTGGTGTAATTTCTACAGACACAAAGCACTAACTAACAAATAAGTAAGATTATTTAATGAGAATCTGAGCGATGAAATTAAAACACATTGGTACAATATCCCCATATACATATAAACTGCTTATACACTTGCAATGGAATACAATTGGTGTGTGTTTATTTCCTTATCCTTTCATTCTCCCATTGGTAATAAAATAAAATCACGGAGCGGCATTGGCATCATGCACATGCAAAGACAACTCATCAATTCTGTTGTACTTAAAGGAAGTATGGGACCAAAAAAATTACCTTATTCGATCTGAGTAATAAATGTCATTTATATTATTGCTGTCGATGAATAACGCGGTTTGAGGCTTACGAAATCCGTAGTATAATGAGAGGAATACAAAAAAAAACAAGGCATTCATATGGAACTTACAGATACAGAAAAAATAATCATTACAATAACCTCATACCATGAGAGTTATGATTATGTACAAAGACTCGGATCAATGGAGAATCATAAAAGCAGGAAACTAAATAATACCTTGAAAAATCAAACAAAAAAATCCATCTGAGTCTAACCTCTGAGCATTGACTAGCCTATCAATTTCAAAAAAAAAATAAAAAGAAGTCTTAGGAGAGAAGAGGAAGGGGGCGGTTCAGTAAAAAAAAAAGGCGTGAGTGGGGGTTATAAAACGGTTGCACAGAGCAAAGGTAACTGTCAACCCCAGCACTTCATGAATTCAAATCAATTCATCAAAGGAAGCAAATGCAAGTATAAACATGCCGAGTCAGAGTAAATTCAACCTCAACTATCCATTTCGAGGTAGAAAAATGAAGCAGCAATAGCAATATAGAACAATAGAAGAATTAAACCAAAAACACAGAAAGCGCAGAATAAGAATCCATACGCCCAATAGAAAAAGCTATTACGCTAATGCTAAAACATGCTCTCTAGAACTATGAAAGAATTACGTACTGAGCGCAATGAGTCAAAGACAGTCAAACTCAATAACGAAGAAATCCACAAACGGAGCTTTATCATAGCTCATCCAGCAAGACGACAGACAGCAAAACTATACATTGAAAAACGTGCGGCTTCGACTTACAGAAAGAAAAAAACTGTTTCTGCTCCGGCAATGGGAGATTGAGCAAGAAGAGGTTGCTTCAAAAGGCAGAGGAAGCCATTCCTTGTCACAATGTCGGTGAAGAAGTGAAAGTTATGGCGGATCCTTAAACTGATGAGAATATTATTAGTGTATTTAGTGCACTGGAAATTCATGAAGAGTTAGTGGAAATGGAAGGGCGGGGGAAGGAGACTGGTTGTCGGTGGAGGATGGTGACCGGCGGTTGCCGGTTAACTACGTTCCAAGCTGTAATGTCACGAGTGAGCTGTTTTAGTGCATGATGATGATGAGGGGTGGTGGGTGGGTGGGTCAGTATGGCATTTGACCATCCCCATACATACATACTACCTATTCTGTACGACAAAGTGGTTGTAGATTTCCAACTTTTTTTGGTACATTTATTGCAAATGCCATTAAAACTATAAACAAAAAAAAACAAATTCGAATACTTCTGACACATTTTGTGTCTCAATTTGGAAGAGAAGAATATGGACAGGGGAGGAGGTAGGGAATATGGGAGCTTTTCGTTTGTTATCACTCGTCTACTTTTTTCCCAGCGGTTAAGAATTCATTTATGATTTTTGAGAACCATTATAAGAAATTATTTAAAATATGAGTGAACCATTATAAGAAACTGTTTAAAATATATGAGTGAACCATTATAAGAAATTATTTAAAATGTGAGTGAACCATTATAAGAAATTATTTAAAATGTGAGTGAACCATTATAAGAAATTATTTAAAATATGTGTCAAATATGAACGTTAATCGAAAATAGGCTATCTTTTATTTTCTAAATGTGACTTATTTATTATGTAGTACTATTAATAAAGATCGAATGCAATAATTAAATTTCTCAAAATTGTACAAAGTATATGCTTAGGAATTAGGATGCTCTTATTTGAAAAAAGTGTATTGTATTTCAATATGTTCTATGTTCCAGTCTCAATTAGAGAATTTTGTCGCATGCTTTAAAGTGATTCAACTTATTATTACGCATATTTCGCACTTATAGTATTAGTGTTTAGGTAATTGCCTAACTCAATTTTACTCTTTCTTATTCTTAATCTTAAGATAAATGTGAAGTTATTGAAAAATGAGTGATGTGGTGATTGATTGTCTCAAAGATAAGTATGTATATTTACCTAAAATAAATCTCCTGATTTAAAAGCTCAACACGATGACTTATAACACTTCAAGAGATGGTTTCGGATCACAATTTCCTATGATTTGCAAAACGGTTTTGTGTATGGGGGAGACAGAAACATAGCCTTGAGTTCTAAACCAATGATAAAACCTCTTAATCACTTCATTATATGGGCACTGAACACATTTTCACAAAGTGTCAAACCAAAGAATTTATTTGGGTAATCAAGAAAGCCAAATATAATCTAGGAGGACCCAATATAGTTGGGTACCTATACTAATCTCTTTTAGGTACACATTGGCTAATTGATTCAAATCAACTCAAAAAGGAGCACAACGAATCATCACAATGATAATGGTTCAAATTATGTGTTTGGACAAGTAAAATTTCATTTGGTATCTCCTATATGGACTCCGATGTAACTCTAAAAAGCTTATTTTATGTGCCTCATTGTTTATTTGATTCATTTGAATTGTGTGCTCTTCTAAAATTTAATTCTAGAAAAAATGAAAATTGTTGATTTTCTCTCGTGACGCATGAAAGGTCCTCATGTAGCTCATCAAAGGTTGTTTTAATCATGAGATATAAAATGGTAGGAGATATAAAACTTATTGAGTTCTTATTGTGAGTCAAATACCACATTTTTTACATGATGTGCTACAAGCATAATTTTAGAGTTAGGATGGTCACTTTGGCATTTGTAGTGTCTTGTCTTTCTTCTTCTCTTTCTTGTCATTTCCTTCCTTCTTCACTTGAGGAAAATTTGATTTGAACGAAGTAACTAGCTTCTCCACCTTCATTGGAATTTGATTGTGGCATTGTGGGGATTTTCCTCTGTAACTCTTGCTATACTTTTTCTTCCGACTTTTTTTTGTGTAAATCTCACTAACTTCTTGTGATGCTTGAACATTGTCATCTCACCATTATTGTCTCATCATGAGGATGATTGTTCATCCTTTAATTTCTCATTTCTCACAAAGTATTGATCATTATGGAATAGCGAAGATTAGATGTTTATCATGGTCAAAGAGGAATATTGGGAAGTAAAATCGATTACCACATTGTTTTACTCCAAAGTAAATAGAACTTTAAGATTATGTTCCTTAGGGGAGTGCATCTTTCCGATTTGGATCTATGGATGAACTAATGTTGCTAAACCTCTTACACATATCTTGATTGGATTTTTTGTGCCTCATCTTTATGCTTTCACATTCAGAACTTGAAAGAGCAATTTTGATTTTATTCATTTGTAGGTGTGTACGTATCTCCTTTGTGTACACTTTCAACAACATAAAACATGTCTTGCGCAGTATTTTTAATTTTAATTGTCTCACTCTAGATAACTTGTTGGTACCAAGAGCGCAATAAAAGTGGTTAATTACAAAAAACTAGTACTACCTCCTTCTCATTTAATGGTTTTCGTCCATTATTCTCCGATCAACATATTTTGTTCTTAATCTTTTACTTTATATATCTAACTTTCATCAAATTTGATTTTTCTTTTTGCGACTTTATAAAACGTTTAATGTATTTTCTAAATATGTAAATTTTGTTTACTAAAAATAATCTCATTAATGACAATGATCAGTTAACCTTATGTTCTTTCAAACGTCATAACCGTGTGAGAATTTTTAAGTGGGACGGAGAGTATTAGCTTCTCGCTTAGCTCAACAAATGGTTTAACTCATTAGTTTTACAAATTCAACAAAAAGTATCTCAATTAATCAAGTATGTATTATCACCAAAACAAGATAAACTAAGTAAATAAAAAGCATCCACCTAGACTTTAAATTTTTAGGATATAAAATCTTATTAATCTAAATATATAACTAATATGCAAATTGAGTTAATGTATAAAGCATTTTATCCCTTGATATGTGTAGGTATATATGTATACATAATTTTAATGCACATGTAAATACTCGGTATATTTTTATATATAATATTTAAATTACGATCTAACCATTTCGGACCAGAATATTCCACATTTTGGACCGAAGCGAACAGGGACCAGATCGCAAATATCCTTGAATCCAAGATTGTACCGGTATGGTTCGGTCTAGACCAGATTATGTTCAGCCCTACTTATAGAAAATCATACACTTCCCTCATACGCCTTGTAAAAATCATACACAACATCTTTGCTATGAAACTCTACACCCACATCCAGAGCTTTTACAACACCAGCAATTCCTTTGTGTTATCTCCCTCTTCATCCATTATTAACACTAATCATAAACATAATACACTAAACAAACTTTATGTGTTATTGAACTCTACACAAATGGTAAAGTCGCATATTGGTTGTGTGTGCATTAGTGCATACAAACATTGCTTAATTATTTACACATGCAGATCACTTATCTTTACATAGAGGCATTGTTAGCACATACTATCTCTACATACAAATAATATAATGCTTATCCGAACTACTTGTCCACATGAATTGCAGTACAAGTTGAGATATAACTAATTTATCCTCCCACACAAACATCTTTTATGCAACTATCCAAATTGGGAGAGCATGGCCTTCTCTAAAGATATTGCATGTACAAATTGTCTTGTGGCTTCACAAGCATGTATTCATGTTCACTTCAAATAAGAGTTTTATCTACTTTTAGTCCTCCGACTATTATGTCGTTGATACTTTTAGTACTCGACTTTGATTTTTTCCATTTTTAGTCCTTGAATATTGCGCTAGAGACACTTTTAGTACCTGTCTTTGAAATTTTCCATATTTAGTCCTGCAACTTTCATAAAAGTGACATTTTTTGTCCTTCAATTATTATAATAGTGACATTTTTAGTCCTTCACTTATGGTGTCAAAATCTTAATAGGAGGACTAAAAGTGTCAGTTTGACAATACTCAGAGACTAAATGTGGGAAATCTTGAAGTTGGGGACTAAAAGTGTCTCTAACACAATAATGAAGGACTAAAAAGGGAAAAATTAGAAGTCAAGTACCAAAAGTGTCATTGACATAATAGTCGTGGGACCAAAAATGGCAAAAACTCCTTCAAATAAAGACATTGTAAAAGGGAAATAAATCTTTCCTTGTTATCATTAATTTTATACACTTGTAGAAGGAAAGTATTTTCTTGTTTTCAATTATTCTGAACATCATTAGATTATATTTGAGCTATCATTTGTAATTTTATAAACTAAGCACAATTAAAATTGCAGGTCTAACACATGAGATTTATGAATTACTTTTCTAGCTAAAATTGTTAAAATAAGTGATAATTGAATAAGCGAAGTTCGTTTGTCATGAACATGTCACATGTGTGAATAATATAAATGAGCTTCATGTCAAATAACTTGTGGTCTGATAGCATCACTGTGATACTCCCAAGGAGGAAGTCGCATGTTCGAATCTTATCCCAATTCAAGGATGTTGGCCTTAACATTGAATAGATACTATAATATGTTAGAAAGAATTGCCCCCAAAAAATGAGTTTCATGTTATACACAAGTGAGTGTCACATAAAAAAATTTGGTGAAATTCATAAGAATAACTCATGCTTTTAGGGATTCTACAATAATAATCCCTACTCATATTCATTTTCCTTTTACAATATCTTTTAGCAAAGATGTTTATAGGAATAAATTGGGATGAATTTAAATCAATTCCCGTTTAATACTCTCAACTCTTACACCCACTTTTCTCCTCCCGACTCTTCTTCTTGGGGAAATTCAAAATAAAACCCATTTAATATACGGAGTATCAACATGGTTCTCGCCATATGTGGTTCTCTCTAGGTTGAAACATAAAAGTGTGAATCGAGACGAAGAGTGGTGAATGAGAAAGTGGAGGTAGGGATTGGTAATATGAAATGTGAATTAGTTTGAATTTATTCTAATTTATTCTCATAGACACTATTGCTAGTACGGATTATTTTTATGGATACTTTCAATAGGGATTATTATTGTAGAACTCATAAAAGTAGCGATTATTCTTGTGAATTTCGCCAAAAAATGTGTATTAAAAAGTTAATCATGAGTATGGTGCTTAAAAGAAACATGACATCATAAAATGATCAAAATAAACTGGTTAATGTATTCTTTTCAAAAAAAAGTTATAACAAAGTAGTAAACACGATTAATACTATTAGTTGGAATGGTTTTAGTAGTTGTGAATTATTGAAATGAGTTTTTT